TGAGGGTTGCGATCCGTTGCCGGACACGGAAAAAAAGACAAAAGACAAAAAAAATAAAAAAATAAAAAAATAAATAAATATATGTTAAAAATATCATCAAAATAAAATTCAAATTAAAAAGAACAAAATAGAACATTTAAATACATTAAATAAGAGGCTTTATTATTCTTTAAACACATTAAAAATCAAAATAAACAACCTATTCTTGGATTTTTAAAAGTGAACAAAGAATTGTCTAGAAAATGGAGAAAGAATTAAATGACCAATATATAATAAACATGCTTATTTTCATTAAGTATTCAAAAAATGTTTATAGAGATACAAAAACTTACCCACATTGCCTATCAAAGTAACAAAGATTTCAAAACTTTTTGTTATAGAATTTTCAAACATATGAGGATACTTAAAAAAGCTTGTGAAAAAATTGAATTGAAAGATAACATAAATCCTTCCATGAACTTTTTGAAGTACATTCATGTATAAAATTAAAAAGAATAAATATGTAGTGAAACTCCAAGCTTTAAAACTGTCAATATTTCATTCGTTTCATCTATTTCTCACTATTTTTTGAAAGTTCCAGAAATCATGTCCTTTCACCTGTAAATACTTGAGAATCTGTCCAAAACTGGTAAGAACATGTTTTTTTAACATAGCAGGGATTTCCTCATACAGCTAAGGAGACTATTGTTAAGCAGAGGCCCTCAGAAAAGCCCCAGAATCTTGCAGGGTGCACAATTCCACACTGCAACTTAGGGTGGAAGAGTCCCAATCAGTCTTGAGGAACACTTAGAGTTATATTGAAGCCCTTTATTTTCACTGTCATTGGAAGGCAGGATTTCATCGCAGGACGATGCTCTCACAGAACTTTTCTTATTGTCACGTCCTTCTGCCAAGACCAGACTGAGAGCTGATAATTCCTAGTTTAGAGAGTTACACGTCCTCTTCCCAACATAGGGTAGTGACAGTGTGCCTCAAAAAGCTGAGCATGTCCGTTTGATACTAACCCTTTATTTTAAAAAGCCATTCTTGCCCAATTTGTAGCAAGGGCTGAGGTCTTCTGAAGCTGCACCTCCCCTACCCTGCAAATGCCCAGCTCCCCTACTCAGAGAAAGCACACAGAAGCTCCGAGAAAGGGATTCTGCAAAAGCCGATCTACGCAGTGTAATAGATAGGAATACGGACACCCGACAGAACTTGCTGCTTCCATTTGCGCTTGGGAGAGGAAAAGCCAGAAAGACGGTCGCCTTGACTGAGGGTCTAAGTGGACCGAGAAGCCGCTGCTTGCCCTCTTCTTGTGTGTTGGGTTACACTCAGAGCTTTGCAAGTGAGACCTTTTCCCAGGACACAGAGATGATCACATACTGTGATTTTCGACAGCAGGAGACTCTGGGGTTGTGAAGTCTACTTTCAGAGCCTGGTGGGCTCATTCAAAGTCTTACAAGAAGAGAATGGGACAGACTGTAAGCGGTAGCAAGTCACTGAATTCTACATGGTCAGCCAGTTTGAACCTGCTAGTCACACCTCTGTCACTTTGTAGGGATCC